GAGCCCACCAAGATGCCTATCCTGGCCCTGGCTCATAGGAGGCACTCAGTAAACATTTGTTGAATTCAGTAAATGGAGTTATTAGCAAGTTGAATTGGAAGACTTTTCAGGCCTCTTCCCTCTCTGATAGTCTGTGATTCCTCAGAAGAAGATGACAGAGAGCGTGGAGAAGAACCTGGGTGCTCAAACCTGTTAGGAGCATGAGGAGAAGTTAGAAAGGACTTACCTCAGGCCAAGATAGATCCCAAAAGAGTGTAACTAGGGCTATTCCAAACTGTCACAGTCCAGGATGATCCTTGGTCCCAGCTGACACCACCTAAATTCCCACCCAGAGTCCAAAGGGGACTGGAAAGCAGTTCTCTTAGGATTTCAGATGTAGATACCATATGAAGTGAAATTCCAGGCCCCAACTTATTTAGGGAGCCTGAGAAAAGAAGTGTATGTTGGTGGGAGTGACAATACTCTGTTTTGATGTCCTAGATTTTATGACATATTTTTCCCCCCAGTACCATAGAAACATAAAATTCAGGATAAGAAAGCCTCTTAGAATTTATCTAATCCAGCCTCCAGTTGAATGGAAGAATTGTCACCCCATCTCTATTAACAGGAAGCTCACTTTCTCCAGAGGTAGCAGGAAGACTGCTGGATAGCTCCCACGTGGGCAGGGTCTTCCTGCCTGAGTCCCCACCTCTAACCATGCCTGCTCCCTTCCCTTTGGGGCAGTTCTGAAGTCAGGAACCACTTTCTTTCCATTTTCATTCCTGCCAGAAAACATCCTCCAATCCTTCACCTGCAGAGATACAGTTTGTGGACCCCTCAATATGCTGTTCCCATGACAACACTCTAAGGGCTTCATGTTATTTTTAAAATGGACTGGCAGGGGCGCCTGGGTGGCTCAGTGGGTTAAGCCTCTGCCTTCGGTTCAGGTAATCATCCCAGGGTCCTGGGTTCGAACCCTGCATCGGGCTCTCTGCTCAGCAGGGAGCCTGCTTCCCTTCCTCTCTCTCTGCCTGCCTCTCTGCCTATTGTGATCTCTGTCTGTCAAATAAATAAATAAAATCTTTAAAAATAAATAAATAAAATGGACTGGCAGAGTTCCATGTTGCAGACTTGAATGCAGTGGTCCAAAGTGGCCTGGCCTTCACAGAGAGTAGTGGGACTATTTCTTCCCATTCATTTCTCAATTTCCACAACCACCTGTTTAATCATCCATTCTAGAATGGTGCCATAATTAGCCTCAAGATGACTGGTTCTTTAGATTCTGGGATCTTCTTTCATCACCTGCTGGTCCTTACTGGCTTGTCTTCTGCTGGCCAGCCCATCTTGGGTGCTACCAGCACAGTCATATAGTGTACTGCCCTTTAATGGTTACTGGTTTGCACTGGGTAGGGAAATACCCAGGTTTTACTTAACTTTATCAAAATGTCTCCTCCTGCTCACCATGAATGCTTGGTCTGCCTGGCATGTAGAGGCTCTAAATATTTGTTAAACAGAAAAAGAATGAATAAATTCATGAGAGAATGAATGTCAAATATCACCTACGGATGATTATACCAGTCTGCAGAGCACACTCCTCCCCGACAGGAGCCTGTCTTTCAGCCTCCTGAGCCAGAACCCTGAGTAGGTCATTTGTTCTCATCAGTATCATCAACATGATCTTGCTGTTCATTTTCATGGCTTCCCTTCTCTCCCAAAGCCATGGCTAAGCAGAAGAGTGGCAAAAACCATCTAACCTGCAAAGTTCTTCAGTTTCCCTCCCCAGACTTCACTGTCTTTGGAACAATTCTGTTCCACATTTTGTTTCCAACAGCAGTCACATGTGAACTTGGGGCCAACAGAATTAGGAAGTGATAGGTGGGCATGACTAGTTGGTAAGTTCTGCCACTAGCCACTTGTAGGTGCTCACACTCCTGGTAAGCAAAGACCCTTGGGACAGAGGTAGCTGGCCTCTACAAACAATTTTTTTTAAGACTTTATTTATTTATTTGTCAGAGAGAGAGACAGAGAGAAAGAGAGACAGAGAGACAGAGCACAAGCAGGGGGAGCGGCAGGCAAAGGGAGAAGCAGACTCCTCTCTGAGCAAGGAGCCCAGTGCGGAACTTGATCCCAGGACCCCAGGATCATGACCTGAGCTGAAGGCAGATGTTTAACTGACTGAGCCACCCAGGCGTCTCCCCAAGAACAATCCTTCTCACTGAAGATGGCAACAGGACACTTGCCTCCCACCTGCCAGAACCTTTGAAGAACATTGTTTTTTCCTCTCAGGGGCACAGGACACAATGCCTGGGACCACCCTCTGATAAGCAGAGAGCTCACATCCAGTATATTCCTTCAGTATTAAGGTACTGTAACCTTCCTCTCGGGCCCTCATGGGTTTCATTCCCCTTTACCCCCTCTTTTTTAATTGCTGCCCATCTATTTTGTCCCATCCTTGCTGAACAAATCAGAATGAAGAAAAGTGTTCTTCCAATACTTTTACCTTCTATTCTTTAGAAGGCAAGTGTGCATTAGCTGCAGGGATGTGATAAACACACCAGAAAGAAAAAATGCACCCTTCATGTTTCCTGGGACCCCAATTTCTTCTGACTCTAAGAGAACTGAGAGTTCATCATGGGTCCCCATGAAAACTTCTCTTGTAAATTGCTTTAGAAAATGCCTGGCTTTATGCCTGTTAGTAGTATACTTGGGAAAGTTGCTTTTAAAACTGCTTAGCTCGTAGATGAGTAAATTGCTAAATTACCTACATCAGTCATGGGTGATTTAGTCCATCTCCTTGCCTCTGAGACAGAAGGGAATATTTCTTCTGTACAAAGACCTCCAGGAAAAAAAAAAAGTATTCTATTCTATTTTTTGTCCAAAGACCCCACTCAAAGTTTAGACATTCTTCTTCGGATATAACCCAAATCCCTTTCATTGGAACTTAAGACCTTTTATCTCTCTTCTGACCCCCAGCAGACTATCTGACATCTGTTTGTGCATAGCATTCTGTGGGGGCCCTTCAGGGGTTCTCCCAATTCTTATCAATATCCTCCAAGCCCTAGATGACTGCTCTTCAATCCCCTGTACCACCTGCCCATCACTGTCCACCAATCCCTTTCATTTGTCTCCCTCGTAGCACTTTTACTTTTTATTTTATTTTTGTTTATAAATTTTTTTTGAAGACTTTATTTACTTGACAGAGAGAGCACAAGCAGGCAGAGCAACAGGCAGAGGGAGAGGGGGAAGCAGGCTCCCTGCTGGGCAGGGAACCTGATGCAGGACTCGATCCCAGGACCCTGGAATCACAACCTGAGCTGAAGGCAGACCCCTAACCAATGAGCCACCCAGGCACCCCTCCCTCGTAGTACTTTTAAATGTAGTGACTGCCTCATTGGATACCTGCTTTAAGAACCTAATCAGCACTTTCTTTTTTTTAAAGATTTTATTTATTTGATAGAGCAAGTGAGAGCGAGCATGAGTTGGGGGCTGGGGAGGGAAGGCAGAAGGGGAAGCAGACCTCTTGCTGAGCAGAGAGCCCAATGTGGGGCTCGATCCCAGGACCCTGAGATCATGACCTGAGCCAAAAGCAGAGGTTTAACTGACTGAGCCACCCGGGTGTCCCTAATCAGCACTTTCAACAATTATCCCAGGTCTCCCAGCAGAGGCAGAGCTGAATATGGAGGTCCTCTTTGTAATTTACTAATTCTCCTATAAAATGCACAGATAAGAAGAAGAAGTTTCCGAAAGCCCAAGGTACCACTTCTTATTTGCCATGACAAACACTTGACAGGCTCCAGCTCCACTAAATGGCAGAGAACAGAAATTTTTCTGGTCAAGGGCAAGGATGGGAGAGCCCCGGGGCAGGGGTCAGGAGGGCAGAGTTCTAGGCCAGACACTGCCATGGATTCCTGTGAGCAGCTCTCATCCCCGGTGACCCTAATTCCTAAGCGGAGCACAACACATAGTTGCCAAGGCTGCTTCCCAGTGCCCTTTCAGCTCTCACATGCTGTGATCTGAGTCTACAAAGGCCTCTCCTCTCCCTTCTTAGAAGATATAGGCCATGGCCTCGACACGTGTCTCTTTACCACCAATGTGACCAGCACTATCTGGAAACACTCAGAAACCAATGTTTCTCAACCTGTTAAAATTATCGTTCCTGCCCCAAATGAGCTTTTAAATGCTTTTTTTTTTCTTTAATTGCCCTACCCAATGAAATTTTTTAAAAAGATTTTTATTTATTTATTTTAAAGAGAGAAAGCACATGAGCAGGGAGTGGGGCAGAGGAAGAAAGAGACAGTCCCAAGCCAACTCCTCACTAAGCAGGGGCCCAATGCCCTGGGGCTCGATTCCAGGATCCTGAGCTCATGACCTGAGCTGAAACGGAGTCCGATGCTTGACTGAGCCATACAGGCACCCCCACCTGGCAAAATTTTAATACCATGAATATACTGTACATATTTTTAGGTACAGTACATATATCTGTGCTTAATACATTAAAAACCAAGGTTTTCACTAGCCCCCCCCAACCAATTTTCATCCCTCTTGGCGGCAATATTAACCCTGCTGAAAAGGTGTGACCTTGACTGAGCAGAGGGCTGCAGCTAGCTGTGGAACACTAGTACAGTTATTTGCCCCAAACTCCAAAAGCCATAAACACATTCACAAGCCAGAGGTTTTGAAGATAATCCATTGCACAAGCCGGAGTGGAATCAGCCAGACTTCCGCTTCCCTAAGGAAAACAGCAACTTCCCACCCTCCTCCCCAGGCCGCAGTGCCTCCTGCTCCAGACCCTGCCCTTGTTCTCACCTCTGCCCAGGGCTCCCACTCCATTCATGTGGGTCCCAGCAGTAACAATGGGAATGATGAGAACAAGGTGAACTCTGGGTGATGTTGTTCCAGGAATCATTAGCATCCACTCCAAGCGTAGAAACAACCAGGCCCCTGGCCTGATGAAGCCCTCATTCCAACGCACTTGCATCAGTCCCACTCCCGCCCCAGCAGGTCGTTCCCCTTCACCTTACCTTGGCACACTGGCCAAATAGGTCACGAGTTTCCGCAGGTCTTCCTGTCTTATTCTGTCATGATTGCTGCGAGCAGGGAAGGTCAGGATGGGTCCGCCTCGCTTATCACGGCCCCCTGCAGGGAGGAAGAGGAGGGCTGTTAGGAAAACCAGCCAGAACGTGAGTGCTGAACAGCCAGCCGTGTCTGAGTGCCGGAGGAAACAGACAGAAATACAGTGCCTGGAGAAATGCGGTCACTGGTCAAGTGAAGGGCATGGGGTTTGGATGTGGTTAACATGGGTAACCTTGGTCAAGTCTTTTGACTTCTCTAATATCTCACTGCAAAGTGCAGATGAAAATACTGATGAGCCTTTTACAGGGTGGCAGGGAGGACTGAGGAGCTGGCAAATGGGGAAGCACTTTAAAATTAAAGCCCTCTCCAAATGCAAGATGATAACGAAGGTGATGACTGCTCTTTCTGAGAACACAAGCTATTGAATGGGCTGTAGTCTCTGGAAATTTAACCTTCAATTCACTTCTCTTTACAGACCTCTGTGAGGTAGAAGGGCTCAGGATTAACTGACTACCCTGCTGAGAAACCCTTCAAGCATCCATCCAAGACACCACTGCTGAGAGGGTTTTAGATTCATAGAAAGGATATTAAGTGTTCTCTGCACAGCCAAAGATCCACCCCTGCCTGTCTGCCTGCCTGAGGTGCCACCTGTCACTCCTGCTGGAGGAGCACAGGAACCTTTATCAGAAACAAGGATGCTCAAGGTCTTAATTACTGCAAATGTATATGTACGCACTATGATTATAAATGTTTTCTAAATACCACATTTTTAAAAACCAGGAAGGAGAGTATAGTGAAATGATGATTGTTGTTGTTATTAGAAGGCTGAGATTTTGCATGGTTGCTTTTTCTTTCATTTTTTTCTCTAAACTTTCTATTCACTATTACTCTATCCTCTAAAAATTTATTCTTTAATGGGCATTACTAGGAAGCAGGACCAAGGCTTTCAGGAGGGTCACAGGGGACAAAGCTAAGGTCTGTCCTTACAGGCCCTGATTATTACACAAAGAAAACCTCTGCATCATGTTCACGGACTCCTGAACACATGTCAAGCAGCTGCCTGACATCCTCCAGAGTGGAGACCACAGGGATATAATACAAGAAGGAGGTGGCATTGGCATGGCCATCACCAATTCTGGAAAAGAAGCTTAAGGCTCAGCTCTCTGAAGAAGAAGATATTCCAGGGGAAGTCAGAGCCTCCCAGGGTCCCCATCCAAGTCCAAGTATAATGTTTCCCTCTGTTGTAGGGTCTAGAAGCCATAAAGACAGAAGGGAGACTTGACAAACAAAATCCAAACCATTCCAGGATACTCCTGAAGAGGAAATGAGAAGACTGGCAAGAGAAAAGGATCAAACAAGATCAGGGTCACTGAGAGATCTGCCTTGATGAAAAAGAAAAAAATGTTTCAGCAGGTACCACCATCATCCCTAGCCCCACACTGGAGCAGATTCATGTAGACACACCACAGAGTTGGACCTGAACCCCCAGCTCCATACCACAGGCCTGGCTTTTTGTATGAATAGCCACCCCCAAGTCATCTGCCTTTGAAAGGATCCCCATTTCCCAACTGCCTTCCCAAGCAGAAGGATTAAATGGAAGGTTTCCCAAAAGCTAGGAGCATCTCCCATACCCTCAACCTTCCTCTCTAGCCTTGACCCACCCTAAGGATTTTCATTCTTGGATGGTTTTAACTGCTGTTTCTGCCTTTCTTCCTGACCTTCCATGGATACAGTAGACCCATAAGAACATAGGGAGCCAAGGCTGATCTGATTGGCAAAGGCTTACTATAAGGAGTTTAGAGGACTGCTGGCACTGTACTTCCTGAGCTAGAGCCAGGTCTGCCCTTGGAGGGAGAGTATCATAAATATGGCTGGGGAAAGTTCCAGATAGCAGAGGAAGGGGAAGAAGGAGAAAAAGCCTGGGGCAATGCAGTCCCCACCCACACCCCCGGCCTTCAGGAAGCATGGATAAAGATTGGAGACTGGGCAGTAGGATCAGTCAGGGGTTTTTCAGAAAGAAGATGACCTTGTAAGAATGTAAGAATGTAGGAAGTGGAGCAGGAAGGAGCATAGAGAAAGATAGTCATTGTGCTGGAAAGAGTGGGACAATGGGTAGAAAGAGGCCTCAGAGCCCATGCAAGCGGAGGGGTCCTACTTCCTTCTCTGAAGCATGCTGACAGAACTCAAAGAGGGAGGAGGAAACAGATAAAGTAAAGAGAGGGAGGAACTCAGCTTGCCTGGGGAAAACTGTTCTTTAGGTGAAATAGCAGACTAGCCCACCTACCAAGTCAGGACAGGCTTGAGATACTGGGAGAAAGGGGAGCAGACTATCACTGGCCAACGTCCCTAGAGAATGAACATCAGGCCTGTACATGAGGTGGGCAAAAAGAGATGAGACAGGGAACTGGGGCATCATGAGAGCTCTGTTGTAAGGTCTAGCCATGGTGTCCTAGTTAGGTTCTAACTTGAGCGGAGGCAGAATAAAGCTAGTGCATACACAAGTGGGGAGGGCCCACTGAAGGTAGGAGATGTCCTGCTGGATCATGAGCTCCCAAGGAAGAGGGGACAGCAGATGTTTTGCTCATCTGATATCCATCCTTTCCCAATTTACAGGGAAACATCAGAAAGGGTCAAAGGTAACAAAGGCCATAGACACGTATATCAAAGTTAAGGTCTTGCATATGCATGGCCAATGTAAGGAGGTAGAAAATTTGGTACAAAGAAGGCTGAACAGCTATGAAGGTGTAGGATTTGATGGATTATTGACGTGGGCACTGAAATTGCAGAGGGTCATAAGCAGAGGTGAAGAATAAGAACCCCTTGTTGAAGCCTGTGTGACTTATGGAGGTGGATCTGGGAGGGTACAAGACAAAAGTGGCTACAAAAGTAGCCACGTTTTGAAAAGATGATACAGATGGTGGCAGGGTCCTCAAGGGTCACTCCTTCACTCATGACATTCCTGCTGTGGGCCTATGTGTGAGAGGCTTTGGGGCCAGGAGCCACAGGACTGAGATAAAAAGGAAGAAAAAGGAAGGGATGGTCTGATGTTCTCGAAGGCATAGGGGCAGGGCAGGACAGGGTTGAGGAAGAGATAAAGGCTAAAGCACAGGGAGTTAAGCCTTCCCTGATTGAGCCAGAGGAGGAATGGTGCTCAAAATTTTCAGGGGGCTCCAGTTAGGGCAATTGGGAGAGGTGGGGAGTTGGGGGGGGTGGGAATAAGAAAAATACATTGATGAAATTATACCAAAGTTTGGTCCATCTGACAGTAGTTCTGAGAGATGTTAATGGATGATTTTTTCCAAGGGAATGAGGTTACTCTGTAGTTTGGAGATGGCTTCATGTGTTTAATAGACATATGCTTTAATGAACATGGCAAATCTCCATGAGGCAGCTATAATATGCCTTTCCCAAACATCAGATTATAGAACCCCTTTTTCTTTTTTGAGGCTCATCTGGTGGAACTGTTGTTCTATGAAACACACTTTGGGAGACATGGATACAGGGTCTGCAATCGTGCTACAGCAGCTGCCTAGATAATGCTATTGGTAGGAGATAAGGAGGCAGAGAGGGACATCAGGCGGTGGCTGAGAGGAGGGCGTGACTGCACATAAAGACAAGAGAGGTGAAATGAGCACCGTACAAGCAGATTGCATAAAAGGCACAAACGGGTGCTGGGAGTGGGAGGCGCAGGCACTCAAAGGGAGCCAGAGAGGGCAAAGGGAGGCACACAGGCTGTGAATGCAGAGCAGAATGGCCAAGCTGGAACGACAGAGGCTCCCTGAGGCACAGCCACAGAGCCTGTCACACACACGTGCACACACCCACACACAGAAGCTGGGGAGCTACACTCACTGGATTCTTCCAAATGTGTGTTCCCATGGCAGCACACTTTCCTTTGCCCTGGCCACACTGGGGGGACTAGCAGACAGGGGTGGGCACAACCAACAGAGTTTGTTTCTCTGCTTACCACCTTCCTTCACAGAAAGAAATGCAACTGCAACAATGCATTCTTCAATTCTGGGTTTCTTTGTTTTGTTTTATTCTTACGTTTTTTCTTTTAAAAGTTCAGGTTATAAGAGGCTTTATTGGTTTGTTTCTTATTTCTGGTTTTTTTTTTTTTTTTTTTCAGATGCAGCCAGCCGTTTCCCTCACATCCTCAGCATCCTTCCTGGGCATGGAAAGGCAATGTTCCCTAAGCCCAAAAGCTCCTGGCACTGTGCATAGATGAATAAGATGTTCCCTGGGCTGCTCAGCCCACATTAGTACAAGGGAGTGAACTGCATGCCCCAGCCCCCTTGCTCCTGCTCTGGGAAACTTCTACCTGCCTCATGCTGGACCATCTTCCTGGCACATTGATTCTGTGTGCTCCCTTAGGACAACTCTTTATAGTTGGGAAGGTCTTTTCTAGGGCTGGCTGGGCCCGGCCTCAGGGCTCCAGCTGAACGATCAAACAAGGGTTCTCATGTGTACTGCATGTGCAATCATAAGTCCTGGACTGATGCAGGATAGGATGGTGTTCAGAGGCTCAGCATTAAAGCCAGAAAGGCTTCTTAGAGGAGGCAAAGTGGGAACTTTGCTCAAGCCAGAAAAAAATGTGAGTAAATCAGGGCCAGTAGAGGAAGTTCAGGCACAGGAGACATGGGAGGATTAGCGGGATACCAAGCGGACAGGAGGGACATCAAGTTAAATGAGAATCAGAGCCATTAAGAAAAAGAAGAAAAGATAGGATTGGGCTCTGCTTGGGAGTAGAGAGCACACAATAGAAGGCTGTGGGTCACATCCTGGAGTCAGGCTATGGGCAGTAGCAAAAGTCGGGGGCCTAGGGCTGCCCAGTGGCTCTCAGGACTTCCCCACAGGGTCCTCCCACATGTCCAGCAAGCACTCTGATCCAAGCGTGCAAAGGCTTCAGAAGTTGTCTTACCCACACCTCTACCCATACCAAAATCACTGCCATGTGGTCCCACCAAGGGGCTATTCAGCCTGGGCTTCAGCATCTTCAGGGACAGGGGTTTACTACCTGATAAGATACGTAAACACCTAACACTCATGTGGAAAGACAGCTTCTCAGCCAATGTCATCTCACAGCAACAGCAACACTAGTATCACTACTAATACTACTAATAATAACAAGGAGTGCATTCTGTACCTCACATACTCCCATTGCATATTTTGCCCTTACCTCCTACCTCCACATTCCGAATCATCATCAGTCTCTCATATTCCTTCTCAATAGGCAGGAGACACCCGCTGCTTGGTTTCTCTTCCTCAAACCACCTCCTCTCTCTCCCTTCTCTCCATTTTGTCTATTGCCCACCAGCCAGGCCAGCAGCAGCTCTGGAGTGAAGCCATACACTGTGAGACAATACTCATTCCTTCCCTGTGATCCTACCACTACTCCTTGTGGACCATCAGGATCACCCAGAGATAAATGCTCAATCCACAAGGCATGAGCACTTGGGTATATTTCTTTAAATGTGATCCTTGGTGGTCATTACCCTTACCCCGGCCCCTGCGGGAGATTCTGTAATGGAGGCCTACAATGGAGCTCAGGAACTAGCATCCACAGTGATGGCTGGTGCTCTACTAGCTTGCCTTCAGTTACATCACAGGCCACCAAACTCTTCTTAAAGGTCCGGATAGTAAATACTTTAAACTTATGGCCATCTGGGCTCTGAGGAAATCACTCAGCTCTGCTGTTGTAGTTAGCAAGAAGCCATTGACACTGCCTATAGCAGGCTGAACAGTGGCCCCCCAAAATATCAGGTCCTAATCCCTGGAACCCATAAATGTTAGCCTATTTGGAAAAAAGAGTCTATAGCTGTGACTATTCAAGGATCCTGAGATGGGAAGATTACCCTGGGTTATATGAGAAGGCCCTAAATGCAGTTACAGGTATCCTCGTTAGAGGGAGGCAGACGGAGATCTGATGCAGATAGAAGAGGGAAAGGCAATGGCACCAAAGAGACAGAGATGGGAGTGACATGGCCACAAACCAAGGAATGCCAGCAGCCACCAGAAGCTGGAAGAGGCAAGAGGCGAATTCTCTCCTAAGAGCCTCTGGAGACAGCACAGACCTGCTGACACCTTGGTTTCAGACCAGTAAACTGCTTTTGGATTTCTGGCCTCCAGAACCATGAGAGAATACATTTCTATTGCTGAACGCTACCAAATTTGTGGTAACTTGTTACACAGCAGTAAGACACAGCAATAGGACACAAATACTACCTAAACAAATGTACATGCTGTGTTCCAATCAAATTTTACCTACAAAAACAGGTGGCTGGGGGCGCCTGAGTGGCTCAGTGGGTTAAAGCCTCTGCCTTCGGCTCGGGTCATGATCCCAGGGTCCTGGGATCGAGCCCCACATGGGGCTCTCTGCTCAGCGGAGAGCCTGCTTCCCCCTCTCTCTCTGCCTGCCTCTCTGCCTACTTGTGATCTCTGTCTGTCAAATAAATAAATAAAATCTTTAAAAAAAAAAAAAAAAAACACAGGTGGCTGACTCACAGGCTATAGTTTGCTGACCCCTGAATCAGACATTAAAAGATCCAGGTGCACAAGATGGGTTGGAGAGAAAAGTTGGAAATAAATATTTGGAAGCCATTATTCAGAAAAATAAATAGATACAAACACTTAATTGAGTTCCCTTTGCAAGGAAGGAGAGATAAAGAGGAGCCAGAAAAAATTATCCTCTCCTATCTGATCCACTCAGAGATGAATCCAAATAAAACCTCTGGGAGTGTGTGAGGTAAACAGACTCCTCCAACTAGAGCATTTTCCATAGGGACCTCAGTGGCCCATGAGGGACCTGACTGGCCAGGAAGGGGTTGGGAGGTCAGGTGTATGTGTGGGAGTGCCGGTAAGAGGCTCCCAGCCATGGTTGTGAGTGTCCTCCAGAGCACCCAGCTGGGGTCAGTGCCCCCTCTCCTCTTTCTGTCTGCTCTGGAGCAAGGATGCAGCCAGCCACGCTGAGTGCCGCACCCCCCCCGCCACAACTTCTCTCACACACCACAAAGCAACTGTCTAGATGCATGTGCACCCACACACTCTTCCAGGTCCCTTACAGAGCAAAGTTCCACCAACACTCACCAGACACGAAGGCCACTTTTTCCTTTAGGATGGGAAGGACATCAGAAGCTTTCAAACCATCATTCCGAAAAGACCCTGTGGGATGACAAAACAGAAGGAATTGGGATGAAAGAGGTCAGATGGCTGAATCCCTGGGTACTTCCCTCAGCACCCCAACCCCATCACGCGCCACAAAGTTGTGCCTTGTTCAGGTGCTACAGCCCAGCCCAGTGGAACCAATGGAACGGGAGAAGGTCCACAACACAGAGGACACTTCCACATGATGCCAGGCCACGTGGGTGTCCCTTCCAGGGAGAGGACAGTCCAGATCGCCCCCACCACACATACAAAGTTCCGTGCCTTGCAGGCAACAGCCACAGCCCTGCTGCTGTGGGCAACTTGACGACGGGGCTTTTTAAAAGCCACTTTGTACCTCTTTGCCTAGCATGGTGTCTGGTACACTCAGTAAACACCAATGGAACAGGTTAATTAATATCAGGATGGACCACAATACCCTAAGTAATTGTTTTTGCCTTTCCTCTACCTGGCACAGGGACTCTTAAGTTTTCATTGTACAAACTGTAAAAGTAAACCACCATATCCCTAAGTGGGAAGCAAAATTGAATGCAATAACCCTTCTTCCTCCTCCCCCTCAATGTCACCCTCAGCAGTCCACAACAGACAGGAGGTGGAGAGACACCAGTCTCCTGGGAAGGAAATGCACTCCCTTCTTCAGCAACTCATTCTCTGCCTAAATCTCCGTTCTCAGCTGCAGAGTCCCTTCTGGGGTCCAGCTGACTTCCTATTAGAGGGTTGGAGGCAGAGGCCTGGGGCTCACATAGAATGGAAAATAATGATGTGCCTGGAGAAACAATAGCCTCAAAGGACAACCCAGCCTGGTACGAGTATAAGGCAAGTGGGAAGAGAAGCCCCTGCGTGCACACACACACACACGTACACATAAAACCGCGGCCAGCCCACTGCAGCCTTACATTTAGCCCAAGCACCCCACAAAGACTCTCAGGGATAGCCAGCCCACACCCTGTGAGCCATAACTGGGATCTCTGCTGTGGATCACCACCAGGGACGTCACACGCAGGGACACCGGAAGAGAGGAGGTTCTGCGTCAGCTCAGTGTAACAGAACCAGGACCACCGGCAACCGCTCAGGTGCCTTTCTCTGCATGGCTTACTCCCTTGTGGTCCCAATCAGATAATCTGGAGAGAAACGAACTGGGAAGATGGTCCCCACTCAGGGCTGTCTCAACCTCTAAACCCTGACTGCTTCGAGACTTGCCTGGGAATTCTGGCAACAGCCCAGGGTTACAATCACTGGCCTAGGGAAGGGAAATGAGCCAGTTGCACACTCAACCAAAGAAGAGGAAAGATGTGTCTTCAGAATGCCAGTCTGCTGTGGTCGCGGGTTATGCCTTAACCCCAGACAAATTCCCAAAGTGTCGCTGACCATTTCACCTATTTCTTCTTCATTTTTTTCACCACATGAAGACAGTGAGCCTTTTCATTCATCAGTTGCTCCCCTTTGCTGGCCCACAGGACCTAATGCTGGAATAACCCAGTACAAGGCTCACTTTGAGAAGAACGTGGGCCAAAGAAGAAGAAAAACATAACACAACAACAACAAATCTCTAATGATAAGCATTGTTTGTACAGATCTTTACACTCTGACCTTATGTCCCAACAAAGAAACTATTAAATCTCACTACTAGAAACCACTTAGAATCCATATAAATTATTATAGAATTTACAAATAGACACATAGGTTGTTTTTTGTTTTTGTTTTTGTTTTTCCCAATTCATGCAGTAAGATGTTTCAGCTTCCTCAGCAGGGGAGAGTCCAATCCAGCTTTACCAACTAGACAAGGATCATCTTTAGCTGGTGCATGAGTTGTTTGTGTAAAAGGACACCTCTGCATTAAAACAGCCTATTTTCATATATGAAATACATCTTTGAATACATCAGTTTTAAAACATTCTCCTCTCTATCACTATATACAACTTCATTTCTATAGGAAAAATTTTTAATAAGAAAAGTTAAACTTCGGTCCTGTCTGCTTCCAGATTTTTTACGAGTTCAAAAAGAGGAAGGCCCAAACGAATGAGATTTGACAAGAATGACATAACCCTCTTTTCTTCAAAACACCTGTCCTATTTTTTCCACTGCTCTTCCTCTCCCCCACCTCCCTTAAAGTATATAAGATGGCTCTAATTCCACGAAGTCCCCAGACATTAAGGAAGACCCTGGAATTCATTATAATGGAAGCATAAGATTTCCTATCCTACCCCATCATGGCTCCTACCTGTGGAGGGAGAGCTAGAGGGAGCACTGAATTCCATCCCTCACACCCCACCCATCATGCCCCACCTCTTCCTTCTCCCCTCCAGACTCCAGGGCCTGAGAGAAAGGCAGTGGCTTGTCTCCGCAGCTTGCAACCATTGGCCATTGGCCCAAGTAAATTTCAGTATCTTGGGTTGGGCTGGTCTAAGATTCCCAAGGCTTCCTCTTCCCAGGCCAGAGTCTTCCCCCATCTGGTTTAGACCACAGCTGAACTACCTCCCAGGTTGTGAGCCTACCATAAGAAAACCTAAAGTGTCTAGATTTACAAAATCCTTAACTAGGGGATAATCGTTTCCAACAACAAGATTTTTCACATTATAAATGGATTTGCTCCTGGGTTTCTTTAAACAAAAGGTGCCTTAATGGTTTGAATTAGTTTTTCATTTGCCAAAAATTGAATTACAAACGACTTTTCAACAATATATGCATTATGTAAAGCCAAGTAGAGCTAAACTAATTAGTCCAGCAGCTCAGAAATTGGTGACCTTGAGTAGAAAACCTATTTGCACTGGCTGAGGGTTCTATGTATCAATTCCCCCTGGCCCCTGTGAAGCCAGCTGTTGGGATATATATTAAAGGAGAAGTCCATTGAACACTAACTCAAACAGGACCAATGAAATAGCAACATGTTTTCACTATCAGGTACATGTCTAGGCAGCCTCATAGAAAATGTTTAATAAATATTTGATGAAAGGATAAAGAAATGAATGAAATGGTAACCATTTCTCAAGTGACATGCGCATGGTCAGTGGCCTTATCTGTCACACCAAGGGCTGGTGATCCACATAGACGATCTCCAGGGTCCCACTCAGCTCTGATAGTTTGAGGCTTTTTAAACCTTTTCTTCATATTTATTGGCCTTTAAGATCCTCAGATTATCAGATCAATATGCTTTGAGAGAAAGTGCTGGAAACAAACTCCCAGCAAGGTTCAATGAGCTTTGGGAAGATAAACAACTCTTCCCTGGCCTCTCAGGGCATTCTTTCCCAGGAATCAGTTTCAGGGTCAGAATGCCCAAGACACATCAGCCCATTTTACGGACAGCCCAAGTTACCAAAACGGAAGGCTAGTGATGGAAGAACTTCTGTGAGGCACCCATACCTCAGAGGCAGCAGGTAGACCTGACCTGTACTTGCTATCTCTGAACAAAGTGTATTTGATAATAGCACCATGACCCTACAAACTCTAGACCCACCGTAGATCAGCTTCCCCCCTTAAAAGGAAAGCCTGTTGAAACAGCAGCCCCCTTGCTAGATCTAAAGAAAGACTGAGAAGAAATAAAAGCCCCTGTGCTCTTTGGAGTTACTGTAGGGAAAAAAAAAAAAAAAGAACCAGAGGGCACCCTCAGGGACCTGACCCAACGTGAGTTTCCTGCCTTCTCTTAAGGACAAAGTCATGCTTCGCTGGCATTCAACACTAATCCCACCCCATTTGTGTCCTGCTGCTGTCAGAATTACGAGCCTGCTGTTTGGTTAATTAGCAAAGTTGAAATGCTCCGCATCTATTAGGGAAGTAAAAATTACCACAGCCACCTCCCCGGGGTCTCCAGCGTGGGACTTCTCTGAGCCCCACTTCTGCCATGTCCTCTTTCCAAATGTGCTGCGCTTACGTTGCTGCTGCCTGCTCCCCTTGACCTCTTCCTAGTCAGCCTTACCCACGCGGCAAAGTGCCCCTCTCCCTTACCCTGGCTTCCAGCCTCTGCAGGACCCCGCGTGGCAACAGCGGGACTGGCCCTGGTGTCAGAGGTCCTCCGTCTGTTGTTTCATGGTTCCAGGATGGCAGGGAGGATCCCAGGGCAGCTGTGTGCCTTGTGCCCCATGCTAGGCTCCTCTAGAAAGCAGGGCTGATTTCTACAAGTAAAGACACCAGCAGCTAAGTTTTGAGCAATTGGAGGTGCAAGCCACCAGGGTGCCCATGGATTGTTCTTTATTTCTTTTCGGTTCTCAGCCATACCCCCTTAAATGTGCACTTACTGAGAAGTGACTGTGGAAGTATTTTAATATTATCTCATTGCCTTGATTGGGCTTGACCCTATGTCACCCGTGCTCAGGTAGGTCTCCACCTCATTTTTCCCCTCTATGCCAGTGTGTCCAGCATGGAAGCCTTGATCAGAGTGGTCCTGACTCAGTGAGCTGCTGCACAGGAGACAAGTGGTTTCAGCTGAGAGTTCTAAGAGCTCATGAGGCTGAGCCTTAGTTTGGGTATAATTGGGACTGTTTCCTATTTCCACAGCCATTCTTCCATCAGTTCTTCATTGAGCACCTATTATGTGTTAGGCCTTACGTTAGGCATGGTGGTTCTTAGACAAGTAAGCAAGGGACCCCACTCTCCAGGGGGCTTGCAGGCAGAGATGGACAGGTATGCAGATAGGACAGCAAGCTATTATCAGAGACAGGACGTCATCTGTACAGAATGCAAGGGAACTCAAAGGAAAGGTGCGTCCTAAAGCTTTCCTACTCAAAGTAACAAGCCTCCCCTACCAACTAGAATCTTCCTAGAGATGCATAATCTAGGCCCTACCCCAGACTGCAGAATCAGAACCTGCATTTTAACAAGAAACCCCAGTGATTCGTATGCATGGTGCATTTGTGGAAGATCTATGCACCAACATCTGTCTTCGATTTCAGAGCTGCCTCAGAGGCAGAGATGGATAAAAGTACCCTTTAGCCTAGTCTAAACAGAACCTCTCAAATCTGATCTAGAGCTGCTCATCACCCCTCCCACCTCCACCACGGGAAGACCCCTTGCCACCACCCAACAATCCCAAAGACTCAGCCACTTTCCTGGAACCCATCACCCAGATTCAGCTCTGGAGTAAAAAGGCTATGGGAGAGATAGAGGAGTTTCCCCTCCAGGGCACTGAGACTGGACCATGTCTTATTTTTTGGTATTCAGAGTGGTTATGAATAATACCTGTCCAAGCTGCTCAGGATTTTGATGGCTTAACCCAGTCCCTCATGTAGCAGATATTTTAGTTTCGCAACAAATCTCCTCACTACCCCAACCCTCAGAGCCCTGTCTTCTCTAACTGCTCTCAGTATCATACACACATTTAAAGACCAAGAAACCATCTCTGCCATACCCTGGAAGACAAGGAGCCAGTCAGGTTCATGCCTCTTCATCACACCTGCACTCCCACCCACGGGTACAAAGCCCTGAACATGGGGCAATACTGGATGAGAAAGAGGGAAGGAGAGGTGTCCCCATCCGAGAGAGCGCCACACCTAATGAGAACACAGTGCTCATCTCAGGCAATCATCTTCCTGGGAGGGGAGACCCAATTTCTGCCCTCTGAGAGTTTTCAGCCCATTAAAATACCTAGTGCCCATTTCCCCTGACACCCAGAAGCTACCAGACTCTGGAGGAAAAACAACTTCTGGTTCTGAGGTTCTGATGAAGACCCTCCTGCCCTGTCCTAGCCTGGCTGTCCTATATCCCCTATATCCTGATTATTAGTGCCACTACCCACTAACTTACCCAAACAGAAACATAGGAGGCCTCCTAGACTCCTCCCACTCCTATACCCCAAATACCAGTTCAGTTGCTTGGTTCTGCTGATTTTACCTCTTTTATCCCTCCCAAATCCATCATTACTTCTGTGTAGTTTCCCTGACCTTCCCGTCCAGTTGAGCCATCCCTGACTACACCTTGTACTCTCTCTCTCCTGAAAGTCATTTCCATGTTTTCATTCTACTCACCATTAACGGATTCCGACACCCTGGGGTAGGGACCATGTCTTACTCTTTGCCCTGCCCCAGCACTTAGCACAGTGCCTATCATGCAAAAGAGACTCCAGAAATACTGGACTGACACTGAGTATGCACAATCCTAAGAAGACGGAGAGTAAAAGTGGTGAGTAGGAAGCAAGGAGGTGGTCTTTGAACCAGGGTTCGAGTAAGGATAGGGCCACAGAATGGTGTCCCAGTGGCAAGCAGCATATGCCAAGGCAGAGAAGATGGGTTGAACAGGGCATGTGCCAGAGATGGGGAGAGTATGCAGGCTAAACAGTAAAGCAGGGTTAGGGAGTGATGGAAAGGAGGGCATGGAGGTGGTAGTTGGGCTCTCTGATCGCACTCTGAATCTGGATATCTCAACAGGGCAGGTTCCTGGGAAGGCAACAGCAAAGATGTGGCTGCAAGTGCCTTCAGAAGCTCAGAGAGCTGGGACTGCATCACCGCACAGGTCAGAGCCTGGTGGCACCTGGCTGGTCCAAAAGGAAGGCTGTGGTTCCAGAAAAGAGCTGGAACCAGCAGGCTCTGACTGTAAACTTCATGTCACATTCTACTGTGTAAGGAGCTGGGGGAGGATGGGACATGTGACCCTTGCTGAACTGGGTGCTAGAATGTGAGGGCTGGGGGCGCCTGGGTGGCTCAGTGGGTTAAGCCTCCGCCTTCGGCTCAGGTTGTGATCTCAGGGTCCTGGGATCGAGCCCCGCATCGGGCTCTCTGCTCAGCAGTGAGCCTGCTTCCCCCTCTCTCTGTCTGCCTCTCTGCCTACTTGTGATCTCTCTCTCTCTCTCTCTGTCAAATAAATAAATAAAATCTTAAAAAAAAAAAAAAAAAAAGAATGTGAGGGCTGGGGGCACTAGAACTTTATCTCTTTTTATCTTCTCCTGGAGTCCAAGAGAAGCAGGAACCATGCTTGTTTGTGAGGTACCACAAACAGAGGAGGCCAGTAGGAGGCCGGGAGTTTGAGTAAGACCCCATGAAAATTCAACATGGAACTGAATCATAGAGGAAAGAAACTTAAGGACATTGTCCCTTCTGTGTAGGGACTAGATGGGCAATGCCCCAGGAGGAAGACACTGTCGGTACACCTGGGGTTGGGAAGGAAGTCATTGGTAGGCAGAGGCAATGATCTCCATTCCCTTCACTGTCCCTTCTCTCCTTCACGTCTTTCCTGTACTAACACACACACACACACACACACACACACACACACACACACACAGAGGCAGATGTAGGTGAATGTCTCCTCTCCTCTTTACAGATGCTAATGAGCTATTGAGGAAATTGAGGAAACTGGCTGTTGGAAAACTCCTCCAGCTACTATAAATAAGTCCCTTGGAGCTCTAGTTAAAGCAACTGCCACTGAGGCAGGAAGCGCGCACTGACAGGAAGGAGTCAATCTGGCAGAGGAGGAGACTGGGCAGCTTTGTGTCAGCAACAGAACACACAGCATGGTGTAGAGATCCACCTGCCTCTCCCCCACCTGCGGATCTGTCCACCCACACTGAGGCCGGCTGCCGGAAGCCACCATCCCTCACCACGTACACCTGCGAGCGCCAAACCAGCCCAAGCAGCATCAGCCGCTAGCTCCCTCTCTCCTAGCAGAACCCAGCTCCTCCCTGGCACTTCTATCAGAAGGATGTTCACAAGCCTCAGCTAATCTGATTTCAACGCAAAAAGGGAGAGGGGAGGGAAACAAAAACATGGGCTCCTCTTTTGGTAAAGGCTAAACACTAAGCTTTTCCAAGCCAGTTGACTAGGTCTCATGCAACGTGACGCAGCAGTCAGGGACTTGAGAGGACAGGGGCCAGACTGGCCAGTCATTCCACCTGGGAAAAGCAATATCTACTTTCTCCAAAGTCTGACACGCACTTGTCCGTCACTCCCCACAATGACCGTTTCCTGCCCTATGTTCTACTGAGCCGTGTATCTTGTCCAGGGTGTCTTCCCCAATGCCTCCTCTCCTGCCCAGGCTGGGCTGGTTCCTCCTTCTCTGTATGTCACGTGGCAGGCCCCTCACTGTTGTGCCATCTCTGCCGCTCCATCTGGATCCCTCTGGAGACCCATAGCTCTGGGGTCCAGGGCGGGGGGGTCTGGAGGCTTATCTCTAAGCACACAGCTTAGGAACAACTCAGGACAGATTCTTATTCCCCCCCAGTGCCACAGTGCCCTCCACACCAACAACCAACAGCACCCACTGGCTGCTGTGCCTCTTCCTACCCTGGTCCTTCGCCCTGCCTGTTTCTACCCCCATCTTCATCTTTCTCTCTCTCGGGCTTCCACATGAACTCTAATTGTGGCCAATTTCAATATTAACTTTCTAAAGTTAATATTAGATATAAAGTCCTGGCTAATGGGCTACTTTTGAAGAGCAGAAATTTGTAACACCGTTGCTAAATTAGCTGCGTTAAAGATCACTAATAATTAGCACTTTACACATGTGGGTAACACCTCTCTAAGCCCAGCTAATGAGCAAACCGTTTCTGTTTATTCTTCACAAGATTTAATATTAGCTGAGTTGAGACCTCAGCTGCCACACACACAGGCTCACTCACTCACCCTCCCTCACTCCCTCCTTCCCTGGAAAGCTTGACAATATTCAGTGTTCTCTGGATATAAGAAAATGGCCACTTCAGAAGAGATTATGTCTGACCATCACTTTTTAAAAACTGAATCTTTGCTAACAGACTAGGTTATTTAAAGTGCTCGTACCTCATGGATAGTAGTGTTGGTGGTAGATTTATTGCCTTTTTGCTACACTGAGTATTACTCTTAAATGGGTCCTCAAAGTAACACAGAACATTAGCCAGTGGTGAATTAGTCAGTGATGAATATGAATCAACTGTTAAACATTCAGTATATTTGCTTATATATTTAGAGAGAGTTACAGAGATATTCAGAGGTGGAGGCAGAAAGTGTGTACTGTGGTTCAGACATATAGAAGGCTCAGTCCTTGGGACCCTCACTCTCAGTCCCTTTCCCTCTTCCCCAGTGTGTGTATTTGAATTTTAATTTAATTTTAATTTAATCAGGAAATGACTTCAGGTTAGAGATGAAATTATTGATCTGAAAATCCAGCTTTGGCCTCTGTCACTGTGGAACAGTAGGTATGCAAACACGAAATGGTGCTGTACTTACTCACTAACCCCCCACTCTGCCCTGCTCCCCAGAGCTGGAAATGCAGGTAGCAGTAAAGCAGCAAAAGCTGACTGTAAAACTCAGAGCAGGAGACCCTCATAGGCAGCTCCTAAATCAGTTCCTCTCATCTCAGCGCAGAGCTTTTCTCCACTCCTACCTCCAGACTTTCTGACTCCAGAGCTGTGCCATCCTTGCCCTAGTCTTACTACCCATCAGTGGAAGCAATGCCACAGGGACGGAGTGGGCACAGACCGGACACAGGTACATCACAGACACAAAACACCTAGGGCCAGAGTAATGACCAGGATTGTAGAATTGCAAGAGCACCCTGACAGGTGAGAAAACTACACCCCGAGGTCATATTATTGAATAAAGTTCAGCAAACTAAAGCACCTCCTCCCACTTCAAGGACATGTATGCTGCTGTCCTTGGTCCTGAGCTAGTTGCCCAGTTGCTGCTCAGAGCGACTGCTGTCCAGCCAGTCCTAGGATATATGAACCGAATGGGAAAAAGTCAGAGATGAAAGAGATATTAAGATATATCAGAGAAATAAACAAATACGAAGACGTGTTGAAGGCACACAGACACGGAGAGATTACTGGAGAGAATAAAAAGACTTGTTTTGATACTATTTTTAAATAATTGCAGTAGCCAAGAAAGGTCTGAGCACATCATACACATACACACACACACGCGCGCGCGCACACACACACACACACACACACACACACACACACACACATTCCCCTCCCATGGAAATGAGACAGCATAAACTCCTTATGGATCCCAATACTATGTTTTCTGGTTAGTCATATTTGTGGTAGATGGATTGGCCATGGAAAAATTCCTAGAGTTTTAAGTGATTTTTAAATCTTTCCTTAGGTTATTACCTTGGGTATCTAAACACTACCCAATTCATTCTGACAAATATTTATTGAGCACATATATGTTTCAGGCAGAGTTCCAATCTCTGTGGGTAAAATGATACAAAATGTAGAGTTCCTGACTCTGTAGGACTTTTAGTCTAGGGGGTGAATTGGGCAAATCAACATGTAATTTTAATATCATATAAGAAATACAAAGATAGAGGTACATGCAAGAGACAAATGTTCAGAAAATACCAAATATTCAGAAAATACCAAAGGGATGATAAAACTCAAGCTCTCAGACATTGTTTAAAAATTGAAAAAGCAGTATCTAGAAGAGAGACAAAGGGATATGGGATCCTCAGCAAGGTTCTAGACCAGACAGGGCAGTGGTGAGAATCAAGGTCTCTCTGGTGGGTTTAGGGGAACACGGAGAAGAGTTGCTAAAGCATATGTTTTCTTTTTTTTCCCATGACCTAGACCCTCTCCAGAGTAACAGAAAGATGAGTTAATGTTTGCCAGAGATAAGCAACCAAGCACCCCCTGTGAACCTAGCATAACCAGGAGCCAGCATAAGCTAGGAAAGGACCAATTTCAAGACAGTCTGGCTCATGATGCCTGCTACTTCTTTAGAAAGAAGCGTAACAATATCAAGTGCTAAATAGGACACCAGAGTAATCCAAATATCTCACAAAGCTAGAATTTTTCTCCAGAATTATGGAAAACAACAAGAAGGGAGGGACACTGCCTGCAAAGAGTTGCCTAGGTAACTCTCAACTCGGCTTACCAGAAGACATACTAAGCCACATATTCCAGAAGCACCTAGTAAACCAAACCAACCTTCCTAACCCTGCCTCAAAAATGTGTGTGGTTGGGGAGGGCCATAAACCTCATGAACCTTCATGCCAATTATTGCATATATGTCCATGAGTACTCAGTTTTCCAAGAAGAGAATCTGTGCAATTCTAATTTTCTCCAGATTTTCAAAACAAGTCAATGGTACCCTAAGTAGCTGAGAACCATTTGTCTAAAGCAAGGTCAAAAAGAGACCTTACAATCTCTCTTGAGTTCTAACCACTGCATCCTATCATCTACCATCTGCCCTACTCATGGTTCACTTTCTTCTAACACTCATGGACTAGATGAAAACCTGTATTTGGGCTGGCAGAAAAATTAACTGAAAAGGAATGACTTAGAAGCCTCAGCTTGAATAGAAGGAAGCTGAGGCAGATGGTAGAAAATGAAGACTAGGTACAGGACCCCATTCTTTAGGGAAAAGGTCAGTGAGAGTGGGTGCTCTCACTGCGGTTATTGCGAGCCAGAAGTGAGGTTCAGTATGAAAGGAGTTTTACAGACCCCTAGGCAGTGCCTTTCCTAGAAGCCTTCCTATTAGAAGATTCCCTGGCCTCTAACCCCTACTAGTAGAGGGAGAACAACTTGACCCAAGTCCCTTCCTAGAAACATGAGGGGTTCTGGTAAAAGTTAGAGCCAGCTGATTGGGTCTACAAAGTTGCTTAACAAGATCTCTTGGAGTCTGGTGGGAAAAGAAGGGGGTTCTCAAGGATTCTGAGGTAGGCAGCCCCAGCAGAGCACGCCTGGCCACTATCTACTCAACAAGCTGTTTTTTTGCATGAGATGATGAGCTCCCCCAGGGCAGGCACAACCTGAGAGGCAGCTCATAGCCCTGAGTAAAGCCCAGGCTCTGCATTCAGAGAGAACCAAGTCTGACTCCCAACTCCAGAATGTATTAGCTGTGTGCACTTGGGCAATTTACTTAACCTCCCTGGGTCTCTGTTTCCTCCAGAGATAAAAAACAAAAACAAAAACAAAACAAAAACAAAAAAACTACTTCACAGGCTGTGGTGATAAATAAGAGACAAAATCTATATGAAGGAACCATACACATAACTGATGGCTAAGTAAATATAACACCCCTTAACTTCTTCCCTGTTCATCTTGGAAGCCTTAATATGTGGCCTAGTACAACAGATGTGTATTATTAAGTGTTGATTATGTCAAACAAATGGTGAGTATACAAGTTGAATAAAGAAAACTCAGTAATAAAGTAAACAGCAGCTGAAAAATGCCTCCTCACTTTCCCACTACATACCCATAAGCCATGATGCTCACACTCGTCCATGGGGTGCCTCTGAATTTTTATTTTTTCTAGCCCTTACCCAATCTGAGCTGTTTGGCAAGTGTTCCAACCTCGGCTCCCCTAGCCAGTTTCCTCAGATGTAAGGAAAGTCTCCTATGCTCAAAAGAAGACCAGCTGCTGATAGAGCTCAGCAACTATTTGCCCCTTCCACCTGTGTCCAGAGGGCTATGGTCATGGGCATCCCTCCCACTGTGATTTCTAAGTGTTGGAGCCTGTAGCTGCCAGCCTCATTCTTTCTCTCCCAGCACCCCTCTCCCACTGCCTCTATGAGGCTGGGCTCCAGACAAATGTATATGGGTCCACGTGGCATTTCTCAGAAGTACCCATACCCCAAACGCATGTCAACGACAGGCCACTGTCTAAGATGAAGCAGCCCTAATATCTACCTTTAGGTGAAATATTCAGAGCCCCATAA